AGAAAAGAAAAGAAAAGAAAAGAAAAGAAAAATCTCCCTAGAGGTTACCAAACCCGCCCCATAAAAAGAACCAAGCAGGGCGGGAGGCTGGGCTTGAGTACATCAGGGGGCGTGGCTATATGTAGGCTCCTCCCCCGCGGTGGGGCTCCGCCCCCTTCCCCGGGCGGGGCTCACCTGCCATTGCAGAGTAACCAGCGTGCAAAGGAGCAGTGGGGTGCCAGCCGGTGCATGAGCGTGGCGGTGAGCAGGGTCACCACCAGCTGCACTCCGAGGACAGCCTGGGGGGAGGGGACAACAGGGACAGGGCTTGGCAGAGTGTCGCAAGTTCCCTCCTTCCGAACCCAGGCTATTTATAGAGAAGCCAGGGCCAGGTCTAGGTGGGGGAGGGCAGGCAGCTTAGGGAAGGAGCCTGGGGTGAGCTCAGACTCCACCTTGGGAGCCTCGGCTGAGCACGGATCTCTCCCTGCACCCACCTGGGCCCGACCCGTCCCCTCTGCCTCCAGAGGCCACCCTCTTCCCCCCCATCCCAACCTGGCTGGAGAGTGGGCAGGCTGGGGTTCGCTTCTAGCTTCCGCCCTGGAGTTCTGGTATTAAGCTCCCTGAGCTTCCGTGTTCTCATCTGGAAATGGGGTGCTTGCCTATTTAATTTTTTTTTTTTTGGAGAGGTTTTTGCTATAGGGCATGTGCGCTCGCCAGGCACACAGAGAGAGACAGAGAGAGAGAAAGCGAGAAATCACCCCCCAGGGGGGATGGCCGCGCCGCAATCCCTTCTCCTCCATTCTCCTCTCAGGATCTGGGGCACGCACGCACACGTGCCCAGCGTGAGTTTTAAGCCACCAGGTCCGGGACACAAACCGCGGTCGACTACGTCGGAGTCCAGCAACATAGCCATTACGCTAACTGCTGGTTCCCTATTATTATTTTTAAAAGAATTATTTTATTTATTTATTTATTATTAATGTCACGTGAGTTTGCCAGAGGACGACAGAAAGGGAGAATGAGAAAGCAAGCTGCCAGGCCTGGGACTCGAACCACAGTCAGCCATGTGGGAATTCAGCACCTTAACTACCACACCACCTGCTAGCCTGTATCTCCCAACTTTAATAAACCCTGATTACCTCCATCACCCTCTCTGGCCCTTTGTTTAATTTTCTTAAAGAATTATGGGACCAGCAGTTGGCATAATGGCTATGTTACTGGACTCCCATGTAGTCGACTGCGGTTCGCATCCCGGACCCGGTGGCTTAAACTCACGCCAGGCGCGTGTGCGTGCGTGCCCAAGATCCCGAGAGGAGAATGGAGGAGAAGGGATTGCGGCGTGGCCATCCCCCGTGCAGGGGGGTGATTTCTCGCTTTCTGTCTCTCTGTCTCTGTCTGTCTGTCTGGCGAGCGTATGTGCCCTATAGCAAAAAACAAAAACAAACTCTCCAAAAACAATTATTTTATTTACCTTAATTTATTATTATTATTTTCCCATTTGACCAGAGACAGAGAGAAAGGGAAAGTGAGAAAGAAGCAAGCCACCAGGTCTGGGACTTGAACCATGGTCGGCCATGTAGGAGTCCAGTGTCTTTCACCGCCACGCCACCTGCCAGCCCCCTCTCTGTCCCTTTGCAGTCAACCTCCCTGGGAAGACACCAGCTTCTCACCGCTACCCGGTTCCACATAGAACTATGTACGCGTGGGAGTGAATGAACGTTTGTTTCATTTTTGCTACAGGGCACGTGCTCTCTCCAGAGAGAGACACAGAGATAGAGGGAAAGTGGTGCCAGGCAAGGGAGGAATAATAA